ATTCCTCATCATAATTCATAATATATTTACTTAGTATACGGAGGATTCCATTGCTGAAAAGTAAACGACAGCAGACTTTTATGGCCCAGGGCGGAATTACTTGACAGCGTTGGATAAACTTGCTAAAAAAAAACTTTGTGTTTGAGATAAAATAAGTTCTTCTCACTTAGCAAAAGCTATACTAATATACGAGTAATATACCTGAGCTGTTGCAATTGACTCTTTTTTTTGAAATATATCTATAATTTTTACAAGTGATGTAAGAATTCCTTTGAATCAATAATAAATAAAATTAAATTTATTTTTTGATTAAAATTAACATTGACTTGAAATAATTTCCAGAAAATATTTATTTGTAATTTCACATTTTTTTTAATTACTTTAAAAATAAATATATTTAATTAATTTTAATAAATAACTAAAATTCTTATAAGTCTTAAAGTTAATCATTTAGAAATACTATTTTATGATTTTTTGTTAACCTTTCGATGTCCATAAATGTACCAAACTAATCAATAACTGCATAGAAAACGACTCTTTCAATGCTTAACCAATAAATTTTTCAATTTTGTTAAAGTTAATGGAACTACATTTGCACCTAAGTGTTGAGTCTTCTTACTCCAGTTCGGGTTTGGTCGAACACATAAATCCATCAATCTAAATAAGCAGAAACTTTTTCAAAATATTTACATTTGTTTCGGATTGTTGTTTCCAAGTTGCAGAACATGGTTAAATGGTTACATGGTTACCAGTACAATGTTTGCTGGGCCAAAATGGCCAAAAGTTCAACAACATCAGAACATTCCGAACACAAGGAGAGCAAAACGTTTTCAAACAATCATTTAACTTGCGACTTTGCAGGTGAACCACAGTAGTTACACATTTCAGCAATGAAAAAAGTGTTAGCTATGCAAAAATAAAAAAAAAACACTTTGGAAAATACTTGTAGCCACAGAAGCCATCCCAAACCAAACACTAACAGCACTAATGCCAGCAGCGGCTGCAGTTTTGGACCAACAGGAATGTCTAGAACGAGAGTAAGTTGCACAATGTGGCTGGAAATAGCTTTTAAACTTGACGGAACATACTTGACGTGTGGCACGCAAAACAAGGAATTCCATTCAATCAAAAACTTTCCACATAACAACAATGTAAGCTGTCATAACTTAACCACAACGGCGACGTCGACAACAAACTCCAATGTATGCCACACATAACTCAACGGAAAGTAAGAAGCGGTCCAAAATGACACAAAATTTAAATAAAAACTCTGGAAAAATTTGGGAAATATGTTACAGGTGTCATGCAGAATTTTGCTTAATATTAGTAAACGAAATTTGTTAAACTGCTGCAAAGTTCACGTGACGCCAGTGGAGTCACTTAACCAGCTACTGAAAACAAGATACACCTAATATTTTTTTAAAAAGTTAATAAAACTAAATAATTAAAAAAAACATATAATGAACAGGAAATAATTTTGTTAATTTATTTTTTTGTGTTTTGCCTCAACTCAAATCGGTTGCTATTACGACGCCACAATACTATAAACTTCAGATACATTTTCCACTGCAAAATGTTGCCGACTGCAGACTGCCACACGTCGTTATCACACTTTCGTTGCTGAAGGATCCGTAGATGTTATTTCACTTTATTCCAGTGCTAATATGCAAGCTGCTTTACACAAGCATTTAGCACAGATTTTCAATTTACGTAATTTACCACAAAAATAAACACAACATCTTGTGGTATATGCAGCAATCTAAGCAAATGTCCTCGTATTTGATTTACACTCTTCTGGTTTTGTCAAGAATGTTTCATAGATAGTTGGCTGGAGGATGTCGTTGTGGAAACATTTTCATCAATTTTACTTGAGGATTGCATGAGAAGCTGCAATTGAATTGCAGAATTGAGACATGAGTTTCCATCACATTTGTGCTTACTTGGAATAGACTAGAAAGAGCACTGAAGGTTGCAATTTAAGACTACCAGATTGGGCATCTTACAAGTTAGTGAATCAAGCATTAAAGTATACTATTTTGGAGGCTTATTTTAATACAATAATAAAAAGTTTAATACTAATCACGGCTCAATTTTTAAAATTATTTTTCTCATTATTTATTTATAAAATAGCTCCATGATATTAAATGAGCATTCCATTAAAATTTCTCAACGATTTTCACACAAATTTACTAAAGTGTTGCGTTGAGTAATTCATTTTAATATTTTTCAAATATTCATGTAATTTAAGC